TATTTATTTATTTATTTATTTATTTATTTATTTATTTATTTATTTATTTATTTATTGTCTTTTTGAGACAGGGTCTCCCTGTAGCCCCAGATGGCCTGGAACTTGCTATTGTGGGACTCACAGAGATCTGCCTGCCTCTGCCTCCCGAGTGCTGGGATTAAAGGCGTGCGCCACCACGCCCGGCCTTCATAGTTTATTTTTTATTATATTCACACGCTCCGCTTCTCCTAAGTCCTCCTCATCCTTACCCACTCAAGGTTGTATCTCCTTAAAAAAACAACAAAAAAAACCATTCAGTTTGTGCAGCCCATACAGTCTTGGGGGTGTGGCCACCTACTGGAGTGTGGCTGACCTACAGGCACCAGACTCAACTCTGTCTCTCCCACTAAGGCAGGCTCTCACTAAACTGCCCAGGCAGGCCATGAATTTGCCGTCTTTTGCCCCCATGTCATGAACAGCTCTGATTCCAGGCCCGAGTCACCAAGCTTGGCAGAGCACCTCGGTCACAGAAATGCCGCAGTCTTTGTTCCCTCCAAAAGGAAGCTCGCCCGCGGCCCCGAGATTGGGAAGCTGATTCCCTTCTGACTAAGGCACTTAGTCTCAGGGAAAGCCGTTCCTATAAACATAGCGGGTTCTTTTCCCAGGCTCACACCCTGCCCCAGGGGGAAGGCGAGGGGCGAGACGGATGGAATCGAAACCGAGTCCCTCCAGTCCCGGATCCCCAAGGAGAGGTGACAACTTGTCAGGCCACCGAAAACGAGACCCAAAACTGTTTCCGCCCGGTTTCGAACCGGGGACCTTTCGCGTGTGAGGCGAACGTGATAACCACTACACTACGGAAACCACCTCCCTAGGACTCTGACTGGCAGGTCACTGAAGCTACGGTGCAGGAAAGTTGACCCCAAGGACCCCAGGACACCCCCACCCCTTGCCAGGTGCCACTAAGCTGTCCACTTCCCGTGACCGCAGCTGCTTGCAGCTCCTGCTACAACGCGGTACACGTCGCTCACGAAGGTCCCTGATTTGGGCGCGATCAGCTGGAGTCCTCCGAGACCCCCGGGACGCTGCATCCATCAGGCGCACACACTCAGCCCCTGCATCGCGCATTGCAACCCTGACTTCTGTACTACGTAAATTCGGGTCTCCTGATTTCTTCTGTCAGCTAAAAAACATTTAAATGAAGCACTAGTTATTTTTGCACGAAACAATTTACTGATTTTTTTGGAAATCTGATGTATTATCAGAGCATTACATTTGAGCCTGTAGCTTCAGCATTAACTGGCTCATTCACTGTGTTCTGCGGAGGGCCCACAGAAAGGGCTTTTGAGAAAATTGCAAGTTCCTTCTGCTTGTTCATAAAGCTCTAGGCTCACTATATAGACCAGGCTGGCCTCCAACTCACAGAGATCCACCTGCCTCTGCCTCCCGAGTGCAGGGGTTAAAGGCATGCGCCACCACGCCCCTCTCTCACCATTAACTTTTAATTAATTAATTAATTAAATTTTTTTGTCTTTTTGAAACAGGGTCTCCCTGTAGCCCCAGCTGGCCTGGCACTTTGTTATGTAGGCTGGCCTCGATCCCACAGACATTCTCTTGCCTCTGCCTCCTGGGTGCAATGTTTATCTTCTGGACTCCTTAGCCTTTAAGGTTTTTTTGTTTGTTTCTGTTTTTCACTGGCTTTGTGAAACACGCTCTTGACCATTGTCTTTGGTACTTTATGTGGCTGCTCGAGGTCCACGTGATGCCATCTGCATGCAGAGATGGTATATCGACAGCATCAACCACTATCTCTACCTTACCCCCCCCCCCCCCAAAAAAAAAGCTTTGTGGACCACAGGGGCATCTTTACTAATATAAATAGGACAGGATTTCCTACTTAAAACCAATCCCATTAACACAATTGATGACCCCGATCCTGGACTGTGATGCCATGGATAAACCTCACAAGCATTTTTTGATGCAGACTGTGAAAGGTGTGCACAGCTGGTAAAGTAATAATATTTGTTGAATGAATCTACGGCACTTGTGGAAAGTATTATTTAAAGGAACCCCTGGGCTTGGTTCAAAATTCTAAGGCTACCGAACATGTTCAGAAAGTATCTTTCCAGCCCGTCACCATCCTAGAGAAATCCTACTAGTGTTCTTCCAAAAACGATGATTTCGGTAGAGTGCCTAATCACAGAGTACTAACCAGGTGCTAAGAAACTTTCATGATATTCTCACAAAACCCTGTGAGGTGACAACTATGATTTGTTTTATGTGAGTAAACACCAAAATATAAAGTACCAGATACGCTTAACATTCTCTGCCCGCCTTTTTACATGGTAATACACTGTTCTGCAATCTGCGTTTCTAAACTTTACATTCTGAAATTCTTTTTCACATAGATTAAGTTCCGTTCTATGTAAAGCGGTTATGAAGTGTCACCCTTCAGCTGGGAAGTTCATCCAACGATGTCACAGTGACCTACTGGCAGGGTTTTGTTTGCTTCGGTTTTATGAAACACGGCCTCACATGAGGCCAGTCTAGACTAGCCTCGAACTTGCAGCAATCCTCCTGCCTCACCCTCCCAAGTGCTAGACTCGCAGGCGTGCGCCTACGCCGGTTTGACTGGCAGTTCCAAAACGGGGCGTGGCAAAGACCAGTACAGCTTGTGGGAGGTGCGTCCCTGGCTCCACGCCTCCCGCCCATCCTCGGGCCCCTCCCACGACCCCACTCGGCGAGACCCCCGGACTTTCAGCGCAGGGGCTGCAAGGGCCGGAAGTGCTGGAGGACGGCAAGCGGGCCCGCCCCTCGGCTTCCGGCACTGTCTGTGGGAGTGCAGGCTGCAATCGTCCGTGCCTGGTCGGAAGGATGGCGCTCGGCCGATGCGGCTACTGCACGGAGCGCAGGGGGCGGCCCCACGTCCTCGCTGGTCTCCGCGGTCTCTCCCCGCTGGCGGGGCACGGGCGCTCCTTCCGCTCTGTCCGCGCTCCCCGCTGCCTGGCACCACAGAGATGCGGGCCCCCGCCGTCCTAGCCCTGCCGCCCTGTACCCGAGTGCCGGCTAGAGCGTCTCCTCCTCGCTTCCTGTTGCCCTGGCGCCCAGGGGAGAGAAGGGGGCGTAGCACAGTCGCGGAGGGAACTCGCGAGCTCAGGTCCTGTGGAGACGCCGGAAGCGTCGGCAGGGAAGCCGGAAGCTGGGGGGCGGGGCCAGGAGGGGCGGGGGTATATGAGGAGGCCGGGGGAGCTTAGGGCAGACTTGCACTCAGGGCCACCTGCGGTACTTGCCTGTGGTGCTCTGATCTGACCCCTTCCCGCGCTGAGACGCGGTGGTCGTCGGGGGCCGGGGAGTGTGGGGAAGTGTGGGCTTGTCGGGAGCACCTTCCGGTGACCGCGCCGGAGGCGAGGCTGCAGAGGCAGGGCCGGGGGTGGGGACGGGTCACCTGGGTTTCTGAGGGAAGACCCACGCCCCCCCGCGCCCCCCACCGCACATCTCCACTGGCTGACTGGACACTAAGATGGCTGCCGTTGCCATGACACCCAACCCTGTGCAGACCCTTCAGGAGGAGGCGGTGTGCGCCATCTGCCTCGATTACTTCACCGACCCCGTGTCCATCGGCTGCGGGCACAACTTCTGTCGAGTGTGTGTAACCCAGTTGTGGGGCGGGGAGGACGAGGAGGACCGGGATGAGCTGGATCGGGAGGAGGAGGAGGAGGTCGGGGAGGAGGAAGAAGTGGAGGCGGTGGGAGCCGGCGGGGGGTGGGACACCCCCATGCGAGATGAAGACTACGAGGGGGACATGGAAGAGGAGGCCGAGGAGGAAGAGGAGGGTGTGTTCTGGACCAGCAGCGTTGGCGGGTCCAATTGGGACAACATGGACTATGTGTGGGAGGAGGAGGAGGAGGAGGAGGACCTGGACTACTATCTGGGGGATGTGGAGGACCTGCGCGGGGAGGAGGAGGAGGATGAGGAGGAAGTGCTGGAGGAAGAGGAGGAAGAGGAGCTCGACCCGGTTACCCAGCTGCCGCCCCCCCCAGCCCCTCGGAGGTGCTTCACGTGTCCCCAGTGTCGGAAAAGTTTTCCCCGGCGGAGCTTCCGGCCCAACCTGCAGCTGGCCAACATGGTCCAGGTGATTCGGCAGATGCATCCGACCCCGGGCCGGGGGAGTCGTGTGAGTGATCAGGGCATCTGCCCCCGACACCAGGAGGCCCTGAAGCTGTTCTGCGAGGTGGACGAAGAGGCCATCTGCGTGGTGTGTCGAGAGTCCAGGAGCCACAAGCAGCACAGTGTGGTGCCCCTGGAGGAGGTGGTGCAGGAGTACAAGGTGAGTGACAGCAGGGGTGGAGAGGAACACAGGGAGCAGCAGTTCGAGACCTCTTGCACTGGGAGAGTGAGTGACTCCCTTGCCAACCACTGACTGCGCCAAGGTGGGTTAGACTGGCTCCAGTAGGGCAAAGCAACTGATGCCAGGTCTCTGGGCTTCACTTCCTGGGAACAGGCCATTTCCATTTCACTCTGCCCTGGTGGCTTTGTTAGGAGCCCAGGTGACGGGGAGTCCTTACCGCCAGTCTCATTTTTTTCTGGATGTCTTAAGTCTGTCCCCAACAGTGGCTTCGAGATAGGAAGAAATGGGACCTAGAAGAACAAGGAAGAAGCCAGGTGTGGTGATGCTCACCTGTAATCCCAGCAGGGAGAGGCAGAGGTGGGAGGCCTCTGTGAGGTGGAGGCCAGCCTGGGCTATGTAGGGAGTTGCAGGACAGCTGGGGATACAGAGAGACTCTGTCTCAAAAAAAAGGACTGTTACACAGGATCTAGTGTCAGACCCAGATGCCCACACCTGCCTCCTCTGGAGTAACACACCTATACTGTGATTCGGCTTGCTTCTCCAAGGAGTTTGGTTGGCCTTGCACTGGGTCTTCTGAATTGACCAGAAAAGAGAGCCGCTTTTAGAGCAGCAGAGCTGGCTCTGGCTCAGTCAGACCTTGTTCAAGTTTCTGAGTGTTTTTGAACTTTATAATTACCCCAGGATCGATAGTTAATATTTATAGGGCACTTTACTTATACTGAGTGCTGTGTGGGCCACTTTTTGTGGATTATCATTCAACACTCAAACCATCCTGTGAGTTTGATGTTTGTCACTCTCTTTATAGATTGGGAAACAGAGTCAATTCCTGAACGCTGAGGTTCAGTATTGGGCAGGGGCTACCCAGCACAGCTTGAGTAAGTGGTAGAGGTGGATATGAACGTCCCTTTTCTGGGGGTATATAGTTAACACTGTTGGAAGGTTTTCAGTTTAACTTTCCTGACTTGACTGCTCTTGGAATCTAATTCTGGTTTGGTTAGCTGTCTTGATGCTTGTTTCTCTCCCTAATTCTTTGGACATATGGGAAGGACATGTGTCTATGTGGCCATCAGCACAGGTAGAATTACCTTCAGATTGGAAGCCGTGGAACTGGGAGGAGAGGGAGCCTCTCCCTCTCTGTGGCTGCCGCGAGCTTTGTTTTACAATTTGTGTTTCTACCCCTCCTCCTGATGCCTTCAGTAACTTCATTTAGGTGATTATTATCATTACCTCAGGCTTAGAGTCTAAGGCTTTACAGCTGATTGTCAGTTACTAGAGATTTTCAAAAGCACAGTGGACCCTGATTCAGAAGTTCTGAATCCGTGAGGATTCAGCCTAAGATGGGCAATGGCAGTGCAAACCTCTAATCCCAACATTTGGGAAGTAGAGGCAGGAGTTCAAGGTTATCCTTGGCTACATAGCAAGATGGAGGCCAAATTGTGCTACTTGAGATGGTTTTTTTTTTTTTTTTTTTCATCTTTCTGAGACAGGGTCTCCCTGTAGCCCCAGCTGTCCTGGAACTTACTATGTAGACCAGGCTGGCCTTGAACTCACAGAGATCCGCCTGCCTCTGCCTCTGCCTCCCGAGTGCTGCTGGGACTAAAGGCGTGCACCACCACTCCCAGCTAGAGACTTTTTAAAATTTTTAATATTTTATGCGCATGAGTGTATTGCTTGCATGTATCTAAGGCCACCTATGTCATGCAATGCCAGTGGAGATGAGAAGAGGGTGCTGGGTCCCCTGGAAATGGAGTTACAGATGGTTGTTAGCCACCACGTGGTTGCTGGGAATTGACTGGTCCTCTGCAAGAGCAGCCAGTGCTCTTAACTGCTGAGCCATCTCTCCAGTTACCTCCTTTTTTTTAAATTACATTTTTATTTTGTATGTGTACATGCATGTGTATGTGGAGCTTCTCTCCCTCCATCAGCCTTGGTGGCAAGTGCCTTAACCTCCTAAGCCATCTTGTGGGCTCATAGACCCTGTTCCTAAAAAAACAAAAATAAAAAATATCCTTTTGGATTTGTGCTTGTAATTGTCAATTTGATAAAAATATTGTTAAATTTAAGTTTTATAATTTTTTTTTTTTGGTGTGTTTGAGACAGAGTCTCCCTGTAGCCCCAGCTGGCCTGGAATGTACTATGTAGACCAGGCTGGCCTTGAACTCATGGAGATCTGCCTGCCTCTGCCTCCCAAGTGCTGGGATTAAAGGTGTGCATCACCACGCCTGGCCAGTTTATAAATTTTGAACTGATGGAGTAGAAATAACTTGGTTTCTACTGTGGAAAGATGGCAACAATATTGAAAGGCAAAAATTTGTGTATACTATTTTTTCACATTATAGAATGACTAATTTTATTACTGTTCTAATGTTTTCTACAACCAGTTGTGCAACAATTGCCTTTTGTACTCAGGGCCACTTAACCTTTTGAGTTCATGGGTCATTATGTTTTCTACAACCAGTTGTGCAACAATTGCCTTTTGTACTCAGGGCCACTTTTGTACTCAGGATGTCACTGGCCACGAAGAACTTCTCAAACACTGGATAACATTTATTAATCTTTGCCACATGCCAGGTGCATGACTAAGATTGCTCTCCATGAGGTTGACCGTTCCCATTTTAAGCTGAGGAAACTGGAAGCATGGCTCCATCTAGCTGCAGTTGTAGTTCTGATTGGAACGTGGCTCAATCCCCACTCTGTGTTTTCCCTAAAGACGGGAATAGGTCATAAGAGGACACAAAAGGAAAGAGCAAATGGTAGGGTTTATTTTGTCCATTCTGGGCTTTATAGCATGTTTTAAGGAAAAAGACTTGGCTCCAAATTTTTGGAATGCAAACCTTATGTACCTAATTGCTCTGAAAGTTGTCACTTGAAAGTGTTTGTATTTGATGTAGCTTGTAATTGAATGAAAGAGAAAGTGGACAACACTGACATTAAATAAAGTGGTAACAGTCCCAGCACCAGGGAGGTGGAAGTAAGAGGATCGGAAGTTCAAGGTCATGCTCAGGTACAACACAAGTTCCAGGCTATCCTGGGCCATATGAGATCCTGTCTCAAGGAGGAAGGCTGGTATGACAGGGACTCCATAGTGCCTGGAAGGCACATTTGTAATTGTTCATGCCCTGTGAAGTAGTATAAAGACTTTATTCCAAGTTCCTTAGGGTCACAGAAGTAGTTGAGGGTGGGTAGTATCAGAACTGCTCTGGGAGCTGGGTTTTAAAGGAAGAATGCTTTGGAGCCGGGTGTGGTGGCACAGGCCTTTAATCCCAGCACTCGGGAGGCAGAGGCAGATCTCTGTGAGTTCAAGGCCAGCCTGGTCTACATAGTGAGTTCCAGGACAGCTGGGGCTACAGCGAGACCCTGTCTCAAAAAGACCAAAATAAATAAATGAAGGAAGGAAGAATGCTTTGGGCCCAGTAGAGAGGCATAATCCCAGGCAGGGCAGGGTACAGTAGCATGAAATCCTCCTTAGCATGTGAGGCTAGAAATGTAGGGTCAGTATTTTGGAAGTGATAGAGAACAGTTTTAAGGTTTTTGGCCTAGGCTCAAAATCATCAGAAAAGTGTTTGGTTGGAAGGTGGCTTATCAGGTGGAAGAGACCAAAGGCAGGTGTACTCATGCAATGGATTTAATGTGATAAGGGGATCAAGCTGCGTGTAGCCCAACTGTTGAGTGTAGAGTTATGTAGCTAGAAGGATCCAGCCTCTGGAGAAGCACACAGAGTTTCTGTTACGAGTGCAGGTGAGGATTGGAGGCCTTTGTGGTCATCTAAGAGATGGGGTGGGGAAGGAAGGGCTTATTTCACATCTGTGGTGGAGCTATGAGACACTGAGCCTCTGCTTTAGGAGGATTGGAGACATAGGTCCTTCAGGACAGGTACTTCTCATCCTCCCCATGATTAACCCTCCTTTTCCCCATCCCTCAGGCCAAGCTGCAAGGGCATGTGGAACCACTCAGGAAGCACCTGGAGGCTGTGCAGAAGATGAAGGCCAAGGAGGAAAGGCGGATGACAGAGCTGAAGGTGGGTGAATGTCTTTGAATGGCAGGCTGATCCTGTGGTTAGAATGAGGCTGCCAGCAATCATAGACGATGACTAGATTCCCTAAGAAGACAGCCAAGGCCTGGGAGGCTGGTAGATACTTTCTCGAGACCTGAGGTGATGTGGCCTTCACAGTCAGAAGGCATGTTCCTTCCTAGTTTCTAAAATGTAATGAAAACTGAGGCCTGGCTCATTGAGGCTCCTTGCCTGAGCCAAGGCTAGAGTTCACTTAACCCCTGATTCTGGAGAGCACAGATGACAAAGGGATCAAAATATATACAGCAGCTGCCAGAGGAATACCAAGTTCCAAGATAGACACAGATGGTAGGCAGAGTTGCCCTAAACATTAGGAAGTGTGCTCCTGGCAGGTTTGCTGTGCCCTGGAAGAGGGGCAAACTTGTAGAAAGAAAATGAAGAATTAGTGATTATTTGCATCCCATAGACCTAATACCCCTTTTTCAGTCTTCTGAGCTCTTTGACGTTATTGCTCATTCCTTTCTAAGAGGTCTCCCTCCCTCCTATGTGGGTTTTTTGTTTGTTTTTTGTCATGTTTTTGTTTTTTGAGATGGTCTCCCTATAGTTCCAGCTGGCTTGGAACTTGTCATGTATAGGTGCTGACCTCATAAGAGATCTGCCTGCCTCTCAGTCCCAGGTACTAGGATTAAAGGTGAGAATCACCATGCCTGGCCTCCTATTTGTGTAAGGCTAGCAGGTCCTGCTGGAATAGACTGGTACTGTAGCCAAGCTAAGCTTCCGAGACAAAGAAGACACCCCTTTCTCTCCCTCTCCCCACCTGTCTGCCTGAACAGAGCACGGGCCTTTCTGCTTCCAAGAGCCCATATCCACTGTTACCTGCACATTAGGGACTCTGTTGCTGGCACATGCTAGTAACAATGTGCTAGAAGTTGAGTCTTGAGTTGGGGAGTTAGGGACTCATTGTGCCTCTGGTCAGTTGCCCAAGTTGATAGTTTGGGGCTCTCTGAGTCACAGAGGAGGTATGCTGGATCTGTGTCTTTGAGGCAGAGTGGAACTGACATGATAGCTGCTGTTCACCTCCTGCCAGCTCCTGTCCACTGAGGACAGTTACTCCTTATCCAGAGTAGTAGTAATGGAAAATACTGGATAAAGGTGACACCATCCAAATATGGGCTGGCCTAGGCAGATGGGGCCAAACTAGGCAGTTTTCTTGTTACAGGTATTAAATATAGTTTGCTCTGTACCTATGTGTTCAACATCTATATACTCCTTCAAGTTTCGATTGAAACACACAGGGGAAAAAATTGCATCTGTATTTAACATGTACAGACTTTTTTTTTTTTTTTTTTCCCTTTGGTCTTTATGAGACAGGGTCTCCCTGTAGCCCCAGCTGACCTGGAATTCGCTGTGTAGACCAGGCTGGCCTTGAACTCACAGAGATCCACCTGCCTCTGCCTCCCAAGTGCTGGGATTAAAGGTGTGCACCACCACACCCGGCTAAGACTTTGTTTTTTAAGACAGGGTTCCACTATGCAGCCCTGGCTGGCCTTGAGCTCTCAGAGATCCACCTGCCTCTGCTTTGCTGCTGAGCTACCACACCTGGCCAGACTTTTTGTTTAATCATTATTCTCTAAATAGTATTGTCTAATAACTATTTGATAGTACTTAATTGTATGGGCTATTATAAATAATTCAGAGATGCTTAAAATATATGTGAGGATATGTAAATAGCCATTTTATATAAGGGTTTTGCACATCTACAGGTTGTGGTATCCTGGAACCAGACATTTGAATGTGTAGAAACAATTGGTTTTTTGCCTCTTGGCCCCAAAGTGTATATATATATATATATATTTACTATGTGGACCTTTACAGAACAAGACTCCTACTCTAGAGGGCTTGAATAACTACTTTAAAAAAATATTTTATTTATTTATTTATTTATTTATTTATTTACTTATTATGTTAGCTGACCTGGACCTCTCTCTGTAGACCAGGCTGGCCTCAAAGTCACAGAGATCCGCCTGCCTCTGCCTCTCAAGTGCTGGGATCAAAGGCATGCGCCACCACACCCAGCTTATTTATTATTTTGTGTGTATGAGTGTGTATTGCCTGCATGTATGTGAGTGCACCCATGTCGTGCAATGCCGAGGAGATCAGAAGAGGGCTTCAGATTCCCCTAGAACTGGAGTTAAGGATGGTTCGTAGCTACCATGGGGGTGCTGGGAATCAAACCTGGGTCCTCTGTAAGAGCAGTCAGTGCTCTTAACCACTGAGCCATCTCTCCAGCTCCCTGGAGTGACTACTTTTTAACAAGTATTTATTTTTATTTTGTGTATATTAGTGTATTGCTTGCATGTATGTAAGTGCACCCATATTGTACAGTGCCCTCGGAGTTATGGATAGTTGTTAGCTGCCATGTGGGTTCTGGGATTTGAACCCAGCTCTTCTTCAAGAGCAACCAGTGTTCTTAACCACTGAGCCATCTCTCTAGCCTTGAGAATAAAGATACTGCAAAGCTGGACATATTGGCTTATACCTTTAACATACTGCAGCACGAGGCAGGATTGTGGATTTGAGGCTGGCCTGGACTACATGGCAAGACCTTGCCTCAAAAAAAAATGTGTGACTGGGTCAGCAAGATGGCTTGGTGTAAAGGCAACTGCCACCAAGCCCGAAGACCTGAGTTTGACCCCTAGAACCCACGTGGTGGAAGGAGAGCTGACTCCTGCAAGATGTCCTCTCAACTCTGTGTGTGTCCCTCTGCCCCCTCCCACATCTATTATAATGCAGCATTTCTTTCTTTCTTTCTTTCTTTCTTTTTTTTTTTTTTGGTCTTTTTGAGACAGGGTCTCCTTGTAGCCCCAGCTGTCCTGGAACTATGTAGACCAGGCTGGCCTCAAACTCACAAAGATCCACCTGCCTCTGCCTCCTAAGTGCTGGGATTAAAGGTGTGCGCCACCACTCCTGGCTATAATGCAGTATTTCTAATACTGTGTATACAGTACTGTGTATATGGAACGATACAGTGGTGCGGGTTTGCTGCTGCAAAGATCTGGAGAGGAGAGAATGGCTCTCTTGGAACATGTAAGCTTACACCTGAAAAGTGAGTCAAGCTAGGTAGGCAAAATAGAAATAGATTTAGGAACCCCGTGTCAGGAATGTGGGCTCTCAGTCCCTGATGGACTGAGACCTGGGCAGGGAAACGGCTCTTCCATGGCACTTTGGAGTAGTCTCTTTTGAGCTGCAGTGAGAAAAGTGGAGCTTTCACCTGTGTATTCAGATGGGTACTCCCTTTGTATCTTTCCAGAGTCAGATGAAGTCAGAGCTGGCAGCTGTGGCCTCAGAGTTTGGGAGGCTAACACGGTTTCTGGCTGAAGAACAGGCAGGACTAGAGCGGCGCCTTCGAGAGATGCACGAAGCTCAGTTGGGTCGTGCTGGAGCAGCAGCCAGCCGCCTAGAGGAGCAAGCTGCCCAGCTGAGCAGGCTGCTGGCTGAGGCCCAAGAGCGGAGCCAGCAGGGGGGCCTGCGGCTACTGCAGGTAAGCCTTGTCCCCTCTGCCCTGTCCCACTCCCCAGCTTCCTTTTTACCCTCAGGCAGTGTGCTCACCAGCACCACTGCCCAGAGCTGTTCTCACTGGGAAGAACCCATAATGATTTAACCTGAGGATTAGATACTTTTTTTTTTTTTTTTTTTTTGAGACTGGAACAAAATTGATTGTGCTCTGTATATAGCAGTCATACCTAAAGAAAAGAAGGAAGAGTTAGTTCCAGAGGAGGGGCTTAAGTAAGAGTTGAAAGAACTTTTGATAGTGATAGCTGGAGAAAGGGGCCTGGGTCATACTGAGAACTTGCTGGGTTTACGGCAGGATGAGGTGAATTAGGTGTGTGGTTTCAGGGTCTGAGACATGGGCTGGTTTATTGTGAGCCTTGAAGGTGCTGCTTTCTCCTTTCCTGTTCAAGTTCGGGCCTTTCTCTAGCTGGAGACTGGGAGGAAGCAGTGATCCTGTGCAGCTGACACTTTGTCTCTTTCTCCCTCCCCTTTTGTTTGTTATTCCCAGGACATCAAGGAGACTTTCAATAGGTGTGTGCTCCCACTCTCCCTGTGACCCAGTAGTGTCTGGATCCCACTCCCGCTTTTCTGGGGCCTCCATTCCTCCTTCCCTCCCTCCCACTTCCCAGGACCTGAGTTTCTGCTTTTTAGACCCTCATCTTCTTCCCCTCAGCTTTGGTTCTTTACTCTGGGAATATCATGGTCCCACCCACCCCCCTACCCGGTCCCCTTCCTCCAGGTGTGAAGAAATACAGCTGCAGCCCCCCGAGATCTGGTCCCCTGACCCGTGTCAACCCCATAGCCACGACTTTCTGACAGATGCTATCGTGAGGAAAATGAGCCGGATGTTCTGTCAGGCTGCAAGAGGTAGGGAGGTCACCTCTATGTCCTTCCTTTGCCCTTCCCTTCAGACTTGAGGTTAAACTGAGAAAGATTGGATCCTGAGGGAAGTTTGGAGAGCAGATAGCCACTCTCAGGTTTCAAACCAAGAGTTGCTTCTGTGGTGGCCCAGCTGAGTTTTGGGGGGTGAAGAGTCAGGGACAGAAGGCCTGGCAGGTGTCATGAGAATCAGGGTGAAGGGCAGAGTTCATGGGGCCTGGCCTGGCGGCTCACATGCCGTGGTTGCTGATGGGGGAGCTGGATGGGGTAGATGGGTTGGGGAGAGGTGGGAGGCCTAAGGAGAGGCTCAGCCTGTGAAGTTGGCTGCCGCAGAGGAAGTTGTATCCCTGCTGTATTTGTCTTCCTTCTTCCAAGTGGACCTTACGCTGGACCCTGACACAGCTCACCCAGCCCTGATGCTGTCCCCTGACCGCCGGGGGGTCCGCCTGGCAGAACGTAGGCAGGAGGTTCCTGAACATTCCAAGCGCTTCTCAGCTGACTGCTGTGTACTGGGGGCCCAGGGCTTCCGCTCTGGCCGGCACTACTGGGAGGTAGAGGTGGGTGGGCGGCGGGGCTGGGCTGTGGGTGCTGCCCGTGAATCAACCCATCATAAAGAAAAAGTGGGCTCTGGGGGGTCCTCTATTAGCAGCGGGGATGCCAGCTCCTCACGCCATCATCATCGCCGCCGCCGGCTCCACCTGCCTCAGCAGCTCCTGCTCCAGCGGGAAGTGTGGTGTGTGGGCACCCACGGCAAACGCTACCAGGCACAGAGCTCAACAGAGCAGACACTGTTGAGCCCATGTGAGAAACCAAGGCGCTTTGGCGTGTACCTGGACTATGAGGCTGGGCGCCTGGGCTTCTACAATGCGGAGACTCTAGCCCACGTGCACACCTTCTCGGCTGCTTTCCTGGGCGAGCGTGTCTTCCCGTTCTTTAGGGTGCTTTCCAAGGGCACCCGCATCAAGCTTTGCCCTTGATCAGCCTGCCACCCGCAGGGGCCCCTCTGGTCATCACTGGGGGGGCGGGTGGTAGTGGATGGTTGCCCACTAAGTTTGGGAGTGCCAGCTCCTCCCACTGTTGTTACCGAGTTGCTTCCTGCTTCCTCCTGAACCCAGGCCCCTGCTTCTCCCTCTAGGAGCCTAAGAACCTTCCTAGCTTCCAGCTCAGCCTTCTCTCACCTACTCTGTCTATCCAACAGGTCTGCATGGGTCCCTGATAATGAGAACAGCTGCCTGATCTTCCCTCCCCGGCTGCCTAGCCCAGTCCAGCTCTGGGTCCCAGTTTGAGTAGGGGATGAGGGGAGATTGCAATTTCATTCCTTAACTTCCTTTTTTCCACCCCTACTCTTCAACCTTTATGTCATTTCTGAGGCTGGAGGGTTTGGGCAAGACTTACATACCCATTCCAATTCCATTTTCTGGTGCAAATTTTTAGCAAAGGGATTTGGAAGCTGATGTGGGGAGGCAGGCTGGGCAAAAGGGTAGAGCTAGGTTAAAAAGTCTACTCTCCTGGGGAAGTAGGAACTCTAAGCTTTCCTTCTACCCTCAATTTCTACCTCCATAGACTGGCCAGAATTTAGCTTCAGTGAGATCTGGAATGGTCACGATTAACACCACACACCATTACATCACCCAGTAAATTATTTTCTCCCCCTTTTCTAGTATCCTTACCTAGGAGCCAAGCTCCTCCCACCTCCCCCCACATCCTTTCACTGCAAGGTCTTTCTCCCTTGTTCAGTGAAGTTTCATCAGTTTCTGGCCTCTCTCCATGCCTTTTAGTTCCATTTGGTAAACCCAGTTGGGGAACCTGGGGACAGGGGTCTAGATCCTTGGGTATAATCTATTTTTCTAGTAACCCCTTGCCTTCTGTCATTTAACAGCTTTTGTCCTCTGCTTTGATGGCTGAGGTCAATTCATGTTCTTGGGGAAAAGGTGGATTGTGTTGCAGAAATAAAATGTTTATTTGCTTCTTTGGTTGTAGCGTCCTTTAGAGTCTGTACTCCAGAAGCAAGCCCCAGAACCGGCAGCTGAGCCTGGGGTCCTGCTGCTTTCTTACCTGCTACACTTCATCTAATTACGCACTTTCCCTTCTTCCTGATTTTGAGCCTCCTGTCTGCACCCTACCAGTTTACATCCTAGTTCAGGATTTCCTAATTCAACAAGGACTGACTATAACCCCCCACCTCTTAGAATGGCACTCCATTCAGAATCTGAAGATCATCTGTGACCTGCCTTCTCCACCTACAGACTAGGGCTAAGGCATCCTGAGCCAGTTTGTGTGCCTATTTACCACCAGAGCTGCTGGCTGAGATTTACTACCAATCAACCTCAAACTTGCAAGATTTTTAGGTTTCAATCTCCATCATGCCCACCCTGGCACTTTTAACATGTCACTGTTGGCTGTGCTGTCCTGTGTACAACCTAATGACTCAAGAGGGGAAGTTGGGAACCCTTGACACAGGGTTGAACTTAGCACTTGAAGGCTGCCTCTGCCTCCTGGGTACTAGGATTACAGGGATGCCCCACAACACCCAAGACCCAAAATTAAAGCAATGTCTATACTTTCAGTAAAGCTGACTTTGCTGAATTCTTTAGTGACTTGAGTAGCATGCACCTCTATTAGCCAGAGGCTGTCATTTCAATCTCAAGTTGAAAGCCCAACTTGATAAGAGTATAAAGTTTTGGAATGTTTGCTGAACTTAGGGGAAGGGGACACAAAATACCCTGTTTTTAGCTTTGTTACGTGCCTACCACTGACTGCAGTTCAAGTTTCTTCTACGCTTATGGTCTTGACCTTTACCCAGTTAAGATGTAGTTTTGCTGCTCATCAGGCAAAAAAAAAAAAAAAAAAAAAAAAAAAAATCCTAAAAATCAGAACAGAAGCCAGTTTCAGAAATCCATTTTTATTTCTAAATCTCTGCCATAAACTTTTAGCGGGTGCCAATAGTCACCTGCCACACCCGCACCAGGTTGTCCGTGTAGCCAGCAAAGAGTGTCTGTAAGAAAGAATGACAGGCCATGTTCAGTCATGAATTCTACAGTCCCAAGCAAAGAGCACAATTATATTCCCAGAGGAGGAAACAGGTAGCCATTTAGACTGACATTAAACCTCTCAATCTTCAAGGTCAGTAACCACTGCTCTCTAGCTCATAATTCTCCCCATGCAGCATATACATATGTATATACACCTCAACATTCTTCTCTAGCCATTAAATCAATCAACCCCAGCTCATCTGTTATCTTCCTTTATGTTGAAGACATAAAGTGCCTGAAATACTAACAGAGAAAGGGAGACAAGCTGGAAGCTGGATTGCTGGGAACTAATGGACTTACCTGGCCATCAGCAGACCAGGCCAGAGAGGTGCACTGGGGTGGCTCCGCCTTGCTGCTGGTGCTGATAACTTCCTGCTTCAGTTCATCTACAATGATCTTGCCCTCCAAGTCCTACGGAAAGCAGGCACAGAACACCCTTACACAGCACTGACTGCCCACAGCAGACATCTCAAAAGCCCCCTTTTATAGTTAGCTCAGAGGCCAATGAGCCTGCTGTTAACAGAAGAGGCCTGGCCCCAATAATTTTGAAGTGCGCACATAACACAGTAAAACAAATGACCACCTTTACAATTCAGAGTTCTAACAGTATGACTTTGTCTCTATGATGTATATGTCAATGCATAGAATTTTTTGTTCACATTTCACTTAAGTATCAACCCTGTCTGTACATCAAAAGCTTATAGCCCAGGCTACTTGGGAGGCAGAGGCAGGACTGCCAACTTCAAGGGAAAGTAGTTGTCTAGGGATGTGGCTCAGTTCAGACATTGCCTAGCATGCACAAAGCCCTGGGAGTGCAGGCAGAAGGATTAGAAGTCCAAAATCATTCTCAGTGACACAGTGAAAGCCTAAACCACGATTCAATGTCCCAAAGTCAAGAAAGATCAACAACGTAAGGCACCAAAGGCTTAAAGTTCAGAAACAGGCCCAAATTTCACTAGACCTTAAACAAAAATACTCAATACATACTGTCTGTATACATAGAATTAGGAAAAGCTGAAATCAATGACACATACTTGTTAAGCTGTAAAACTCCACTACACTAGCTGGATGTGGCCCCGCAGGCCTTTGATCTTAGCACTTGGGAGGCAGAGGCAGGTAGATCTCTGGGAGAATGAGGCCAGCTGGGGCTACAGGGAGACCCTGTACCAAAAGACCCCACCCCAACAAAACTCCAAACCCAACAAAACAACCAACCAAAACACCCCTACAACTCTAATAAAAAGCATTAAGATACAGGTGCCAAAGTTAGAAATAAGCAAATAATACTGCCAGTACTATATAGCTTACAAAGTTTCACTTACTGGAATGTTTCCTACTTCAGAAGCTAAAAAATGAAGAAGCCTTAAAAAATACAAAACAAAAAAAAACCAAAAACCCTAAAAAAGACTGAGGACTTCCAGGCAAGGAAGTCAATTAGCACACATAGTGCCACAGTTTATTTAGTGGCACAACCAGGCACAGCCTGTAATATAGCCCCTACTTACCCAGATCTTGATACTGGGGCCTGTGGCGGCACAGAGCCAGTAGCGGTTGGGACTGAAGCACAGGGCATTGATGATGTCCCCACCATCAAGTGTATAGAGGTGCTTGCCTTCATTGAGATCCCACAGCATGGCTTGGCCATCCTGGGCAGATAGAAAGGGTGAGCTAGGGCAATGAGATCCTTCCTATGACTACCCACCTGAATTGTTAGGATCAGCTCTTATCTTTCATAAGTACCCCAAACCCTCTGAAAGCTAATGACTAGAGCGTCTAAGCCTTTTCATTTAATGCATAATACCAGCTGTTATCAAAAACATGACAACTTTTAAGTTAAAAAAAACTTTTAAACTTTCAACAGTATGCTTTTCTACATACTTTCAGAAGATAATGCTTAGAAATATTCTTGTACAACTTGGCCATTTCATGTCAGATAAAAGCTCTTCTTTGTAAAGCAGCACTCTCCAATGAGAGGATGACTAGCCCCGGATACCTTGCCTCCAGAAGCACAGAGGGATCCGTCTGGTGAGACAGTCACTGTGTTCAGATAGCCTGTGTGGCCAATGTGATTGGTCTTCAGCTTGCAGTTAGCTAGATTCCACACCTATGGAGACAGGGTTCATGGGCAAAGAACTTAGTTGTGGTGGGGAATAGTGGCTCGCACCTTTACCCCAGCACTCAGGAAGCAGAAAATCTAAGATCAAGGGCCACCTAGTTACATATAGAATCCCAAGCAAGCTTAGGACAGGGAGACCATTTCAAAAAATAAAAGGAGCCCTTAGCTATGGATTGGCGTGGATTTAGATTCAACAAGGCATGACACCTTTAAAGTTATCTGTGCCAGACATGGTAAAAAGCTGGTCATCCCAGCATTTAGGAAGGTGAGGCAGAATTGCAAATTCTAGGCCTGCCTGGAAAACATAGCAAGACCACATCTCCAAAAATAATCTTTGGCCACTTAAACCAAGATTTAAAAAGATAAAGTCAAGCCGGGCAAGGTGACACACGTCTTTAATCTCAGTACTCGGGAGGCAGATGGATCTCTGTCAGATTGAGGCCAGCCTGGTCTACATACTAAGTTCCTGGCCAGGTGGGGCTATATACAGGGAGACCCTGTCAAAAAAAAAAAAAAAAAAAAAAGGTTCAGAATTGGGGCCTCAGACCACTTGGAACACATTCTGGTTAGTAACAGGGCTGAATCCTTGCGTGATATTTACCTTGACCAGCTTGTCCCAGCCACAGGAGACGATGATAGGGTTGCTGCTGTTGGGGGAGAAGCGGACACAAGACACCCATTCTGAATGACTCTCATCCTATGGAAGATGGGGGTCAGGTTAGAGAACAGGAGGCTCTAGGTAGAGCTCTGCCACTCCCCACTAAGTGGGGTGCATAAACACTAGCAGCACTGCCCTCGTCTCAGAACCTGCATCTATTCCAAGAACAAGCCAGTTGGCAACATGGCTCAGTAGACAGCCAAGCCTGACCTGTATTTGACCCCCAGCATCCCTCTAGACTTTACCTATTCCTAGCAGCCCAGGGCCAGGTGGCAGCTCAGAAACAGCCTCTGGATTTCAGCACTGCAACTCAGATGGCATGTTGGGGTCATCACCGCCCCACCTGGCATGTAGCCCACCATGCACTTAAAACACAGAAGGGGGGCAGCCTTTAAAGTTTCCAAAACCTGCTCATGTGCAAAGGGTCTGCCCACTAGTCTAAGTTTATAGCTATCACATAAAAAAGTGGCGTGGTAATCGCCTTTAATATCAGATCTCTGGAGTTCCAGGTCAGCCAGAGCTACACAGTGAGACCTTATCTCAAAAATAAGGGTAGGTGTTAAAGCACTTTCTACTACCACCTTCACTTTACCTGAACAGTGTACTTGCAGACACCCAGAGTATTCCACAATTTTATGGTCTTATCTCGGGATCCAGAGACAATCTGCCGGTTGTCAGAGGAGAAGGCCACACTCAGAACATCCTTGGTATGGCCTACAAATCGTCTCGTGGTGGTGCCCCTGAGAGGGAGAACTTGGTCATTTTCCAGAAAAACTTTATTCTCAGTCAGATCCTTCACCTAGCCCCAGAAGGCTCTATCACTCCACACTACCTTAGATCCCAACATTAGCCCTAATCTGAATGTACATGTCAGAGAACCCATTCAGAATTGCAGGACATGTCCTCATTCCCTTGTGGGGATTGGTTGACAATGTCTTCTGTCATCACCAGGATCCTCTGTTACATCTGCCAACTGCCTGTGTAGGGGAGCTTTCAGGATTAAACACTGCTTAAAAACCCTGCTGTATTCGGGTAAAAATGGTCAGCTAATTAACGCAAAGCCAGAAAGAGGCAAATATCAACTATCTCCCATAGGCATGCCCTGCCCTATCCTCCACAGATCTTTTCCCCCAGTGGACACCACATTCCCAGGGCATCTACCTCAAGCCTGCCCACTTTCTCCCAAGGCCCCAGAGCAGCTACTTGCGTTGTGAGATCCCAGAGGCGCAATGTTCCATCCCAGGAGCCTGAGAGAGCAAACTGGCCATCAGAGGAGATGACAACATCACTAACAAAGTGAGAGTGACCCCGCAGTGCACGCTGGGGTATGCCATAGTTGGTCTCATCCCTGGTCAGCTTCCACATGATGATGGTTTTATCTAAACAGCATGGTAGAATAAAAGGGAAGCCCATGAGAATTCCTGCACCCCACTTACTGATCTATTACAAATTCAAGGTATCAAGGCCACTGAGGTTAGCAAGAGAAATATGACTATGTTCAGAGGGGAAGAGAAGCTGCAAGTACACCGAGCTATAATCTGACTTTTAATTCAGGTTTCAAGAGACTATGGGCACCACCTCCTGAGATGGAAACTAATTTGATAGTAGAAACACAACTTGGGTGTGGGATGAGTAACTAACTAGAGGGTCTCTTGATGAGATGACAGAGATGCAGTAGTTGACCCCCACTTTTATCTAATTTCTGCACTTGGGGCAAACAAAAAAACCCCAATGCAATAATGTCTAAATTTGACAAGCTGTGCCAGATATGACCCTAACTATAGACTATTTTAATTGTATGGAAGCCTTAAACCGACAGGACGTACAAGGGAGAAAACAGGGGAGAAAGGGCAAGGCAGATTCGATTAACAGGGCTCCTCGAGTTTACACGCTCTCTCCAGAGCCCAGGGCCAGGCGGCAGCTCAGAAACAGCCTCTGGATTTCAGCAATGCAACTCAGATGGCATGTTGGGGTCATCACCGCGCTGCCTGGCCCGTAGCCTCCCACCCCCATGCGCCGGATTCACGGAAGGCAGGCGCAGGTCCTTTACTTAGGGGGCATGTCTCAGTACCATCCCGTGCTAAGGCTCTGCCCTGTTGGAGGACTAGGCTCGGGTTTGCACGGCCAACTCACACCTGGGTCGGGAAATGGACAGAGCCTGTCGGCCCGCGCTACCGGCCGAGCCACGAGACTCCTGCAGTCCGCCGGGCCCCCAGTCCAGGCCCGCACGCAGGCCGTACCTCGAGACGCGGACAGGATCATGTCCGGGAACTGCGGGGTGGTGGCGATCTGTGTCACCCAGCCGTTGTGGCCCTTGAGGGTCCCACGAAGGGTCATCTGCTCCGTCATGACTGCGGCTGCCGCGTGAGTCGCCGCAGCGACGAGGATGGCACCCGATAGCTCTGGGAGAAGAACACCGACGGCGCTGCCACCGCGGCCCTGCGGAGAAAAAGAAAGAGCGGCCTCCGCCGGAAGCGGAAATACCCCAGCGAGGTGCGGGCTCCCATGAGTCACTACGCCGCAAGGATGGCGGCTCCCTGTGGGCGGGGCCGGGAGAAGACGGTCGCGTCAGCGCGTGTTTTCCGCCCTGCAGCAAAGCTCGGCAACATTGGGAAAATGCATTCTGAAGCCAACGTGTTTCGGAGGGCTCCGCTGTGGAAGATCTGAGCGCAGCGCGGGCGCAAAAGGACAGGACAGCCATGCGCCGACCTCGGCGACTTCTCCGCCCGGATGTGGCAGGGTGAGCTCCGCCCCTTCCGCTTGGTGCTTGCTTCTTTGCTCCCGGTCGCAGAATTTAGCTAGGGTTCTGCACTGTAACGTAGTGCTGTTTGAAAAATGATAGTATTTACAGGGCATGTTGGTGCACGCCTTTAATTCCAGCCCTCGGGTGGCAGAGGCAGGCGGATCTCTGTGAGTTCAAGGCCGGCCTGGTCTACATAGTTCCAGGACAGCTGGGGCTATAGG